CAATTATGGTGCACGTGTGAACAGCAGTCACCCAAATACACTTATTCTGATGTAGGTGTTCCTGTTGGGCCAAAGACTGCAAGAAAAAAAAATCTATGAATTGCATGTGAACAGCAAGGAAGAATATGGACACTGTTCAACTCTCTATAGGAGCCACTGAATTACTCCATTTCACTTACCTACCATTAGTCATACCATTTACCTACAGGCTCTGATACAGAATTCTGAAGTAATCCCTCTCCCAAAAACACCAGTAGGATCATACAGGTTCTTTCCATTTATGAGACTTTCTAAGTCAAAAGTCTAAGACCACTGGACAGAAAAATTCAGGAAATGGGCAGATGTTCTTAAAGAACAGAGAACTCCACTTTTGGAGTTATGAATTTTGTCTCGAGATAGAACCTCCATATGTAACTCAAATTCACATAAAATTTTGGTTCATCTGCCTCAGCCTCTCAAGTGCTGGGAAAGAAGGTGAGCAAGAGCACACTAAGAAATATTGTCTCACACTGGAAATAACTAGTATCTTGAAAAAATGAAGAGCAAATATTACCATCTGCTCCCATCTCAGTAAGATACATTGGCTGATATTAATAAGGGAACACGGGTAAATTACTAACTAACATCCATTCTATCAAGCACACATTTGACATTAATAATCAGTGTGTTTAATAACATTAAGCATGAATAACAGTGTGAAACAACATGAAGGTACCAATGTAGTGTCATACATAATAGCTTCACTCCTCAAGCCCTCTGTGCTCATTCATCCATCTCTATTATCTATCAACTCCTGACTTTGTTTTTACCCTCTCCAGATGTACATTTTCCATAATGACATGAATGGAGTCACAGGACACCTGCCCTTTTCAGATTGACTCTTTCACTTAGGAAGACACCTTTAGGTTTCAATGCTATCTTTCCATGGATCATTAGAGCACTTCCTTTTACCATTAGTAAAATACTCCGTGATGTATGTAAAAATTGATAAATGAAGATACATCTTGGTTTCTTCCAATTTTACCCATCAAGAACAAAGTTGCTATGAACACTGGCATGCAGGTTATTTGGTTTTCATCCTTTGTGTAAACACCAAAGAGTATGTTTAGCTTTATAAGAAACTGCCCAACTATCTCCTTAAATAGCTATGTAATTATGCATCCTCACCACCAATGACTGTCCCTGATGCTCCATGTCTTTCCTAGCCTTGGATTTTCATTATTTTCATAGCATCTTGCCTTATTAATCTGTATTTCTCATTTAACATATGCAGAGCATCGTCTCCCATGCTCTATTTACCATCTGTGCATCACTTGGTGAGGTTGCCTTTTTAAATCTTCTGTCCATGTTTTAATTTGGTTGCTTTATTACTTTTAAATAGGCTGGCTATTATAACTTTATAATTTATTGTTGAAAGGTTAAAAGAAACCCACATCTGTGGCCTATCTTTCAATATATTAAGGGCACAGGTTTCTAATTTCAGTGGAGCCCAACTTTTAATTTTTCCTGTGTGGATTGCACTTTTGGCATTACATAAAATTCATCACCAAAATGAAGTTGATCTCTATTTCCTCCATGCTGGCCTCCAGGAACTTTGTGTTATACATATGGAGTTATAATCCTTTTTCAATTCAGACCTAAATTCAGTGTCTAGTTTTTGTTTTGTTTTTATATACATGTGCAATTAGCCTATTGTCATTTGCTGAAAGGATAATCTTTCCCCATTGCTGGTCCATTCCTGGGCAATCTATGATGCCCCACTGGCTAACACTTTTGCTCTTTTCTCATTTACTTTCACAGTAGGCCATGAACTAAAATGGGTATTGGTCCTATTTCTCCTACACTGTTCTAGGTCTTCACATTTCTATATGAACTTAAGAACAAATTTGTTGATAATAACAGCAGCCAAAACTGATTTTTAATAACCTTCTCAAAACTGTATGCAATTGGAATTATATTTAACATACTGATAAAGTTAGAGGAATTTTTGTCTTTTTCTTTTAGTGTTGGGACTCAAATATAAGGCCGTGTTTATACTAAGCATTGGCTTTACCATTGAGACAAATTCCTAGCCTGATAGATGAAGTTATTTGAATTTTATATAATACCATTTTCAAATTATACTTTATTGTAATACTTTCTGCATGGCTGCCCTTGAGTTGACAACATACATTTATAATTAATCCAAGTAGACTTTGATATTAGATAATACCATCTCATGGGTGGTGTAAGGACTTCATTACAAATTATTCCCCAAATCTACCTCCTATCATTTATTTTACTAATATACATTGGCTATAATCACTTCATCTTTGTCTGTTAGGTCAATTTAAAAATTATTTTATTGCCATTTATTCCTTTTTAATTGAAATAGAATTATAACACTTTCCCCTTTCCCTTTCCTCCCAATAGCTCTCCCTTTCATATCCCCTCTCTCAAGTTTATATTCTTTTTCTACATACGTGTGTAGCCAAATATATATGTGTGTGTATATATACAAACAAAAAGACATAGCTCCTAAATCTTTGGCTCAGAGAACAGGGGTAGAAAGATTATAAGTGCCAGAATAATAGGGAGTCTGCTGTTAAACAGTCTGTCCTAGAAATGGCTACATAAACAATACTAGAACAATAGCCATATCATTGTACATATTAACATAGAAAAGGAAATTTTTCACAGGATCTCAGTCCTAGAGAAAGAACTGCAGGCAAGTAATGACTGCAGGAAGAAGGAAAATGAGCCACTGTAGGTATTTGTTTTTTTATCACATCTTGAGGATTAGGCTCTCCATATCCCTGCTTACATTATCCATTTGCAATTTTGAGCCAACAACTCTTTGATGAATCTGGGAAGAATCCTTAGTTTTCAGAATGTTCAGTTTTTTTCCTTATGAGGACAAGCCTAATAGCTTCTGAGTGCCTTACAATCTAACAATAGGTCTGTATTTTCTTGATTTTAGTTTACCTTCCTTATTTTCTCATTTCTTCTTTATGTGGAGTTAATTTTTCTTTTCTAATGTCCTAAGTCAAGTGATTATTTTTTCACTTTCAAGGATGTCTCCTTTTCCTGAGTATTTGACACGAATTTCCTTCTAAGAACTGTTTCCATTGCATCCTACTGATTTTAATTCTGCATCTTTCCCTCATACCTATAATCCAACAGGTCTTTAATATGTTTCTGCTTAGAATTAGATAACCATCCCAATTCTACCAGACTATCCTATATATTTTCTACTTTATTTGCATTTCTAAAATCTCGTACTGACTAGGCATAGTAAACCAAACTAATTTCACTTTCTTTAGTGTGGAGCCAACCAACCTTTATGCTCTTTTAAGCATCCTTTGCCATTTATTCCATGAGTACCCAGAACAATTTTCCTGTAAAAGGGCATTTGGTAGGTATGACAAAGTTCCTATATGCAGTGTGCAGCATAGAAGCTATACATCTTTAAATGTTGCTAGTCAGGTGGAACAGAATTATAAATTTAATTCAATCTTCATTCATTTAAAATTAAGGTCTCACATATATACGGACAACCCTACAGACAGGGCATCTCTCTAGAGATGGATTGTCACCATTCTGGGAATAGTAAGTGAAATTCACAGACTAATTCAATACTACCACGTGTACTTTTGTCTAATAGCTTATAGTATTCTAATAAACATAATAAGGAAATAAGCATGTTTCTGTTACTATCAATAAGGAAGAAACTGAATTGTTCAGTGAAAGCACAAGTTATACCCTAAGAATCTCCATGAAGTCAGTAAAACCAGATGTCTTGAGAAATAAAAACATCAAAATAGAAAATTAAACTTCAGGATGAAGGTAGAAATTATTCTAGGAAGCTCTCTGAATGCAGGGACTATGTGTTGGTACAGTTTTGCCTCTGCCACAGTTCATAGCAAAGTGCTGAGAACACAAAATATTTTGTACATTTGTTGAAAGAATGGAAAGAAAAAAAAAAAAAAAAAAAAAAACAGAGGCAGAAGATACAAATCTATCCCTAGAAACTAAGTGTAGCTTGGCTCACTATATATAGAGAAATTAAGTTTGTTACTATATAGATAGCTGAATTGATTCCAAATTAGTTCAATTATCTATAAGGTAACAATTACTTCGTAGGTAATAAAATTTGATCACTGAAGCAACGAAAGCAACTTTACTACAAGTGGTTAAAACTTCAGACCTCTTAAGGAGCTAGGAGGCTCTTCACTTGCAAATGACTTAGATCTTCCTTTGGCTCAAGAAAAATAAAATCTACTAGAAAACTAAAAGATAGAACATCAGTAGGAAAAAGTTATCCCACCTCTTTTTAGATTTTTATCTTTTAAAATATGTATATCTATGTATAGGAATGTACACAGGTGAATGCAAGTACCTACAGAGTCCAGAAGAGTGGGTGAGGAACAAGAAAGGGCAGTGGGAAGGGGTGAATTTAAAAAAAAAAAAAAAGCAAAACACCTCCTATTGAAAGCCTTCTGAGTGTAAAACCCAGTGTTATAGTAGACTGGTCATCTCTGTTTACAGGTAACAAGCATTTAAAGAGGTAATAATTATTGTAATTATTACTTATCAAAACATAAAAGACTTGCTATGGATCGAGTGGGTAGATCAGTGGTTCTCAACCTATGGATCGTGACCCCCTTTTGGGGTTGAATAACCCTTTCACAACAGTTATATATCAGATATCCTACATATCAGATATTTATATTACGATTCCTAACAGTAGCAAAATTACAGTTATAAAGTATCAAAAAAAAAAATTTTACAGTGGGGGGGTCAACACAACATGAGGAACTATATTAAAGGATAGCAGAATTAGGGAAGATTGAAAACCACTGGCCTAGAACATACATTGGTACGTGAGCTAGAGCTCCACCTGTGTAAAATCCAAATGTCCTGAACTTGTGCTTCATACATAGCCAATAGGAAGGTGGAGCCTTTATTCACAGTATCAGATCCATGTACAGGGAGTCTAGTGCCTCCATACAATTCCTTACCTGACCTATAACGTTCATCTCGAGAGCCTGAGGATCTTCGACGGTGGTATCGAGAGGCTGAGGAAGGGGTGACAGGTGCCCGTCGCTCTTGGGGCAAAGCTTGGTCCACTCCTGGATACAAGGTAAAACAGCAGTATGAGGGTGAGGCTGTTCTCAGTAGCTAAACTAAAGAAACTCAGTTATAATAAATATTCACTCATTACATTGCCATCACATATTAGACTAGGTGGTGCTGAGAAGCCTTGGGGTCACTCTGTAGGTCAATAGGAAAGTGAGACACAAGCAAGGCTCAGAGCCCTAGAGAAGTTCATCGCTCCACAATCTCTCAGCTTAGATCCAACTCTTCAGACAGATCCTGTACTAATGCCATTGTAGCCATGCTAAGTACAGATATAATTATTTGATTAAAGGAATAAAACTTCACCTAGCCACCTATGTGTTTAAGACAAGTAACTAAAGTTGAAGTTTGTCTATTCAGATATACTCAATAGATAGCCCTCAACTGCTCAGAGATACAGAGAATATGGCATTTAAAATGTTTTATTAAAAACGTCAGCTCCTGGCAGCACCCCATTTCCTCCAAAAAAAGACAGAGAGGGCTGAACTCTACTTGCAACTTGCTTCGTAAGTAGCAGCACTAGCCACTGAGAAATTCTGCCTTTCACCTCAGCTGCTACAAAGAGCTCTTCAGACCATGGGCAATAGGACACTGAAATCGATTGCCTCCATATTGCCTAGACAACAGTAGGCTGGTCTTCCTTAAAAGCTACTAGTCCACAGGATCTTCTGGTACCTGGGAGGCCCTGTGGTGACAGTGGAAGGCAAATATCCTGAGGGCTCTGCCCTCAACAACTATGGAAGACACTGGGAGTTTCTGTCCAAGTGGCAAGCTAGTATGTCTCTGTCATTCTATAATCATTAATTCAGGTAAAATTTACTCTTCTCAAAAACTCTGATGCTTTTGACGACTGTTAGCTTTACCAGCCTAAACAAACAGCCAAGGCTTCAAGTGCCTTATAAGGTCCCTGTGTAAAAATTCAAGTCACAGGACCTACTTTCTTAGAGTCAATCCTAAGTTTATCTCAATATCAGACTCAAAAAGGGAATAAACTCACAAAACAAATTTCAGGAACAGGTGCTTTAAGGTTTATTTATATAAAGACATGAGAGCTTAAGGTATGAAGATGAAAAGAACTAAGAAGATGTTTTAAAGTGTATGTATGTAAGTTATAAAGGTCTGAAGATGGAAAGGTCTAAGAAACTAAACTAAGGTGTGTGAATACAAGTTATGAAGACAGAAAGGCTTAAATAATGAAAAGGAGTAAGTGATTTGAATGTTTAAAAGAATAAAATATGTTCCAGATTTCTCTCTCTCTCTCTCTCTCTCTCTCTCTCTCTCTCTCTCTCTCTCTCTCTCTGCTACTACTGTTAAGACTCCAAAAGTTCATAGTCTAACATTAATCAATAAAACTCTGATAAGCTATTAGTCCAATTCTGACAGAGTACTAAACACCATCCTATACCACTATACAATCAAATCTCCAAGATTAAGGTGCTTTTCATTGTGCTAAAAACATCTGCCAGTTTTCCAGATGAAAGGAAGAGTGTTGATGTTTTTAATCAAAATAATTTCTGATATGAGTACACTGTCATTTCTACAATGTAAATGTAGATTATTAACAATGGAAATACTAATGTGTCTAAAAGTTACATTTTTACAAACTCAAAGGATTCTTATAAGTACCAGAAGTTGACTTGGATTCACTTTGAATAGGTCAGATGCACTCCAGATAGGTACTGTCAATAAACAATTCAAGGTCCCCACCTTTCTCTGGTCCTGATACCCTCCCCTTCAAACACCAAGAGCTAATTTTTCTTTTTTTTTTCCTAAAGCTAACCTTGTCCTCTTCTCTGGCAACATCTTGCCAAGTCTAAGAGGCACCAGAGAGTTCCATACAGCGTGGACCACAATAAAACAACCAGCTGCCCTAGGACATGTCAGCATCCAAGATTCCAGGTCCCCCAAAGATGGTCGACACCCCCTAGGTCAGCAGGAAGTAGCCTCGAGAACTGGACATCCTCATTCCCTAACCTGCCACACCTAACTCCTCAACTTTTAAATAATAAAAATGGGAATGTTAAGATTCAGGCAGTATGCTGGCAGAATGTACTCAGGCAGTACCCTGGCCAGTCCAGTGTGCTATGGCTGTTATGTCACTATGTAGTCTGCACACAGGTGCAAAGGTTCCCTTTAAGAGGCAAACTCAGCCCACTTCTGCTCTCCTACTGTCCCTTTGGAGGGACAGACAGGACTTTTCTGCCTCTCTTCTCCTCCCCCTCCCCTCCTCTCTCCTCTCTCTCTCCCTCTCTCATCTCTCCTCCCATCCTTCCCTTTCTCCACTCCATTCCCTTTCCCCATAAAACTTACTGTAGTGATATATTATTTATGACTTATTAAAGTTTGTCTAAGGATTCAGAAACAAAGTCAGCCACAAGCCGTAGACGACAGACACATACCTTTAATCCCAGCAGCCAGAAGCTAGGAGGTGGTGGTACACATCTTTAATCCTAGGACTCAGGATTAAGAGATAGATGGATCTCTGTGAGTCCAAAGCCACCCAGGTCTACACAAGAATGAATCAGTCTAAAAAAAGAATTAAAAGCTTACGCCTTTAATCCCAACATTAGGGAAGTATATAAGCCAGAAGCAAGGTCTCAGAGAGGTATTCATTCTCCAGCCACACTGAGGAGAGGCAGTAGTTTTGGACTTGGTGAAGAGCTCATTCATGGATCAGCCCTTTCAGCCTGAGCTAGAGGTGAGAGCTAGTGGCTGGGCCCATTTCTTTCTCATGTTACAACTTCCTTCCCGTGTAATTTCTGCCTGATGGAGTGTTTGTCTCCCACAATAGGATCCACTGCGGTCCTACCTTACACCATATTCCTAACAGTGGGCAGGCTATAGGCAAGTGTTCTTTCTTATTATAGTGTCCACCAAAGCATGAAGTCCAAAACATAAAATCAAATTTATTATTGTTTTTTGTTTTGTAGAATGAATAAAAAACCATAAATGCCCTGAGAGATTTTAAAATTACAGTTATCAATAATGTCAACTTTAAAATAAACTTTATAAACTATCTATCTGTATTTGGTAATTGGTAAGTTATCCATTTGTAGCATCCACTTTCAGCTTTTGTCATTCCCAATTACAAACTCTGGAAACTTGCTCCATTTAGTGCTAAGTAGTTGAATAGGATGAACTTGAACATGGATTTTATGAATTATTAAAAATGTGATCTTAGATTCAAAGACAAAAGACAAAATTGCTCCCACTGTGTACTAATGACTATCACTTCTTCTTTAGAAGAGTGATACCTAGAAGACCTAAAACATGAGCTCCCACCACCACCACCAAAAAAGGGCAATGCCTGGATTTCAGTAACAATTAGCTCTCACATAAGCCTATTTTATTGTCCCTTATCACATGTCAAATTTATGAAGCCAAATAGTTCTGCTCTGAGCTGACATTTACTTTTGGACTTAGAGCCCTGATTTCTTTTTCTGCTTTTTGTTTGTTTTTAATTATTTTTTTTCAGCCCAATCACTGTTTCCCCTCCCTCCTTACTCTCCCCCAAGTCCCTCTCCCTAACCTCTGCTACCCTAACCATCCACTCTTCTTCCTTTTTCTTCAGAAAAGAGCAGACCTCCCATGTATATCAGTCAGATATCAAGTTACAGTAAGACTAGGCACTTCCTTTCCTATTAAGGCTGGGTGAAGCAACCTAGTAAAAGAAAAGGGTCCCAAATGCAGGCAAAAGACACAGCCCCTGTTCCCACTGTTAGGAGTCTCACAAGAAGACCAAGCTACATAACTGTTACATATATGCAGAGAGCCTACCTCAGTCCCATTCAGGTTCCCTGATTATTGGTTTAGACTCTGTGGGCCCCTATGAATCCAAATTTGTTGATTCTGTGGGTTTTCTTGTGCTGTCCTTGATCCTGCTGGCTCCTAGAACCCCTCCCCTCCCCCCTCTTCTTCAAAATTCCCTGAGCTCTGCCTAATGTTTGACTATGGGTCTCTGCAACTGTTTTTCATCAGTTGCTAGGTGAAGCCTCTCTGATAACTACTGATAAGCCTCACTCTAAGACAGCATATTGGCTTCTTGTTATTCACCATAGTTTCTACTACTTACATACATGATCAGGATTATGCTGAGATGAAAAGCTCCACATCAGAATGGGTTTAATATATTCCCATTTTATTTATACTGTCCTAGTGTCATGCTTTTAATGTACTTATTTTCTGATACTTTCAAAATACTCTAACTGGAAAACAAAACAAAAACAAACCCTTCCCATACTTTTTTTTCCTCCCCTAGTCAAACACTCACAATCTAGTAATGGTTTTTCAGTTCTTTTTGTTTGTTAGTTTGTTTGATTTCACTGAAGTTTATTTGGAGACCCTTTTTCCTCTAACCTGAGTCACCAAACCTGCTGTGCCATTTGGGATCTCTTTCATCTTGGACTTGTTTTGGTTTTACAGAATTTTAGGTCACTGGTTCCTTGAATCTATCCATGTCTTTCTCCTTGTATTTTAAAGAGGCATCTAAAGTAGGTTTTTCAGAAAAGAGAAATAGCACATAGAGGTCTTGGGTTGTTTTTTCTACTGTAACAGGAATAGATCCTGTTTACTTCTTGCCTTTCATTTTCATTATTTCCCCAAAGTTCATTACGATGCTATAATCCTACACTGTCTCTTCTGTGATAACTTTTATTATTCCCTCTTTACTTTTATTTAAGGAGCTGATAGCCAGTTCTCTTCTTGTGGCAGAACACTAATGGACCTCTTTCATATACATCTTTTATTTGGGTTGATTGAGACCTTGAGTATAGTATCCTGCATCTTGAGAAAATTCCTCACTCTGTGGCTGAGACTATTTTCAGGACAATGTAGGTACTCTGACATAGTACTTTTGACTGTAGGACTTGTCTGGTTATGTCCAAACCTGGAGCCTTGTTAACTTTAATTCCTCAGAGAGTACACATGTTCATAAGGACTGAGCAGAGTGGCTGGAGAGATAGTTCAGCCATTAAGAGTACTGGCGGCTCTTCCA